AAATTCCTTAATATCTTTTTATCTAGGATCACAATCAAGTTAGAATTGCATGAATCGATAGAAAATTATTCTTTTTGTTACTTCTGTCAAATGTGGAGATGAAATATGTACTTGTCTAAAGGCATACTAGTAACCTTCGAAAACAGACCAAGAGCTCTAAGACTAGAGACAAAGGGAGATATTTGCAAAAAGTACTCTAATGCTCAAATTAGAATAGACATAAATATTAATAGTAACAATAAATAAACAGTAATTTTACTTTGATTTGTGTGACTATTTATACGGACCAAAATGAACTTTTAGCTCGGTAGGTCATGTGTCTTGATTACCAAATACGTAATACTGTCATTTGTGATTAATTAACCCCTAAAATTCACTTATCTTCTTCCTTGGTCACTTAATCATAATTGTACTTTTAGGCCTTATTGGTGTAGGACTTCTCGACTTGTTTGGTGATCGGGGATGACGAGACGAGCCACTCTTCAATGGGGATGACGAGCCACTCTTCAATGGTTTTGTCTTAATTAGAACGAGTTAGCGAGGTCATCATCAGATTCCCACCATGACTTCTTATATTCTACTATGGTTGTGTTGGCCCTTTCAACCACTAAAAAGGTCAAGAGCAAAGACAACGAATAATTCTTTGTACTCTTAGTGGCATCAAATTGGCTATCTAAGTTGTCAAAATAATTGAGACCAAGATATTGATTCTTTATTGTTAGATGACTCGACATCTGATTTCATTACTCTTATGGTATAGAATCTAAATACAAGTTTTGATTTGATTCTAAACATATACTAAATAAACCTTCTTTTTGAAAGCGAATTTTTTGCTTACCTTTTCTATTTCTTAGTTATTCTATTTCTCTCTAGTTATTCTTTGTTAATTCTTTTTTTTTTCTCCTCTATTCTTCTACTCATCAATTAAGAAACTCGCACTTCATCATATCATCTTTTAAATACATTTTTACAACTCATCTTTGTTATTTTTTTTTAAAATCATTTATATTTATTTTCTTTCCCTTTCTCATTGTTATAAACAATAGTTGAATTATACCACATTTTTATTCAATACATTGAATAAAAAGTATGAACTAATGTATTAAAAGTACATTTTCATCCAAAATTCTCTCTGAATTAGTTAATATGACTTTTGTGTGATCAGTTTAATTCGTGTATTTTCTTCAAAATTTTCATTGTTTTTTCATCGAATGAGTATTAATGCAATTACAATTAAACTGTAATTTTTTTATTTATAAATATTATTAGAAAAAAAATTTGAAAAAAAATACCATTTTGAAAAGTGATTTCTTTTTTTTGGTAAAGAAAAAAAAAATCACTTTTCAAAATGGTATTTTTTTTCAAATTTTTTTTTTCTAATAATATTTATAAAAAAAGTGACATAATTTTGAACATTATTTTCCAAAACAAACATATACTATTGCCATATTGCTAAAAGTAATTTCTAAAATTATTATTTCCAAAAGCATAATATTAAAAATTACTTTCCAAAATATTATATGATCATTTTAAAAAGTAATTTCTAGTACATTATTTAAAGTGATGACTGAGTGGTAGAGGAAGAGTGTGAAAAATTAATGGAAGAAAAGGGTATTTAAGAAAAGACAATGAAAAATAGAAGAAAAAAAACCGTTTTTAAATCTTTCAAATACTACTTATTTCCAATTTTAAATAATTTTGTTGGTAAAGTTTAATTTTGAATATTTATATACTGTATCAAATATTTTTTAAAAAAAATAGATCAAATCTTAATGTAATAATAATCAGTACTAAAATTATATTATAATCTTGATATGATGTTTCAACATTCAAGAATTAATAATTAAATTCAAAATAAAATTGAACAAGATTACTGTAAAATTTAATTTATCTAGGGAGAAACATCTTTAACTTTTCTTATTTATAAGAAAAATTATAATAATAGTAATGAGGACCGAATATAATTTCTTTTTTTATGCATTTATCTCAACTCTCTCTTCTACGATAGTTGTTTTTATTTATTATGTTGTATCACTATTTAGATTTCAAATCAAATTAAAAATAAACTTAAAATATTCTCTTTCTTCTCTTCAAATGTGTATCTCACACACTATTCTTGTAACTATCCAATAAATAAATAAATAAATAAATAAATATATATAATATATATATATAATTTGTTTTTTTAACTACTTATCTGTTTTTGGTATAAAAAAAAACTACTTATCTCTTTTTGGAGTAAAAAAAAAAAAAGCAACTCATCTCTTCCAATTTATCCTTCTTTATTCACTCTAAATAAAATATAGTTTGTATATTTCAAATATTTATTTATTAATACTAATTGTAATATAATTTATGTATTCATAAATACTTATTTGTTATAAATTTTAGTTTTACAATAATAAACATTTGTCTTATTTAATGGACAAGTTAAAATACTGGAAAGAATAAATACCATTAAGGACATGAATTAATTGGTTGTTTGGGGATATAGGTTCAAATATTTAAAATTTTAAAATATAAATAATTGAAAAGTTATATAACGAAGATTATATTAGATAATACTTTTAAAAAATTGGATAAGGATCAGATGTATGAGTTAAAATTTAAATATTGTAACTAACAAAATAATAATCTTTAATCTTTAATATAATCTATATTCGTATTATTCACAGAATGAAAAATATCAAGAGAAAAATTAGAGAAAAAAGATATATGAGAAAAAATATATAATATTATAAAATTATAAATTAATTAGAAACATAGTTAATTTAGAAAAAAATAAAGATTTAGATTAAAATAAAAAATATTTAAAATTTTAAATAAAACTTACGTAATTAATAAATATTATCTATCATAAAATTTTTTTTATAGGCATTTGACCATTTTAAAGTCTAATTTGCCCTATTAGCCTATTTAAAAGCTTATATTAATAATATTATTTAGGTTAATAAACTTAATTTTTAAAAAGCTAACAAATTTATTTTTTAAATATAGTTTACTTAATATTATTAAAACTTTTTAAATTTAAAAAAAAATATAAAAGAAAAAATGAATTATTTTTTATTAAAAAGACAATTCATGCGTAACTATATATATTGATGTGCACTTACGTATAGGTAATAAACTTATAAACTTATAATAAACGAATATTTTAAATATTGATAATTTATTTTTGTTTTATAAATTTATTTACGTTTTTAATAATATATATATATATATATATATATTAAAAAAAATTATTATATTATATAAATAAATTTATTTTCAAAATATAGTTTA